ACGTCTCTACAAAGGCCTGTGTGCTTTACACCGAGGCTTATAAAATACTCTGAGAATAACTGCAGAACTATGTTTAATTAATTAACTGAAGAACAACTCGAAAAGCACTGCACTATTTAAAAGAATATACCACTTCTCTTTTGCAAAATATTACAATTCAATTCTAGTTTGGCATGGCCAATCACTCTGCGAAGTTTGATCCAATTCCAGCTCCATGGAATATCCAAAGAAATCTCCATCATGAAAAAAACCAAATTTTCGATCTCTTAGTGCGATGATTTTATTTACATATACAGATGAAGATCTTGCGCGAGTAAACTAGAAGTTAACCACATGATACAACACAATCCATAACAAGTGGCATCAATCTCCAATAATTAGGACTTTCGGTGGACAATCACCTTCGTAGATTGAGTTCTAATTAACTTTTCGGTGCATATCCATGCCCATCCTTGGTGGCGCCCTGCAATTTCTTCCCTATCCAATTCTGGTTCCCCCTTTCTACAAAGAATGTACCCTCCCTTTGGTTCCTTCGTGTATAAGTATATCGTTGAGTGGATGGTCAATCATTTCGCCATATCTAGTGAGAACAGGAGAGAGGGCAGCAGATTCCACCAAAAGTGTAGAGAATAAAGGCAGAAGCATATAGAATGCAGCAGCAAAGAACAGGTGACTATTCATTTGATGTGGTTTCTTTTCTATTTCCTGGTAAGTGACTCAGATGTTTCTGACATCATATCTGTTGTTTTTCTTGGAAGTTTATGACATCACTCTCCTTATAGATGTCCAAATGCTGAAAGTAAAGACAAAAATACAAAAATGATGTTGAAAAAACATACAAAATTGGGAGGAATGATCTCAGTTAGCCCCAGCTGTGAGTAAACCGGAAAGATTATCAAAAAAAAAGAAACTTAACCGGAAAGATGGTAAGGCGTGACACTGACCATCGGAGACAATTACTCTCTGAAAAACTTAGACACTAGTCCCAGTAGAAGGTCAATGGTCTTCCATGAAAAGGCACATTCAAATTAAGGAACCAAGTGTAGTCACACTAATTTTCCGTCCCTCATCACGAGTCAGTAGTCATTGTTATCACCCAGTCCACCGAACAGGTCAATTATTCGCGAAACCAGAATATTCTCTAGAAGAACACATGGATGGTAACTGAACTTGATTATTACTAGAAGCTAGCCATGTTTGGGCCACCAAAATCCTGCTATAAAAATTCTGATAAAAAAACCCCGACTATCTTCAATGGGAAACTTGTTAGAGCATCTCTGACAGATCCCGCAAACCAGGCCGTCGGCTAAAATAACCCCGGGTTTGCGGGATCCATCGCGTATCCTGGCCCGAACAGATGCCGCAAATCGGGCTGTCCCATAAAAAAATTTGAGGGACCCCGCATCCGCGAGCCCAATTCCTCCGTATGTGCGGGAATCAACCCGATTTTGCCGGATCCCCTTTCGGTTGGCACGAAACAAATTCCGCCGGCTTCACTTCCCGCCTCCCGCCCCGATGCCGCCGCCTATCCATCCTCAGACCTCGCCGTCCGGCCTCACTGCGCCGGAATTCAACCGGATGCAGCCACCGCTGCCCCGGGTGTGCCATACCATGCTTCGCCGCCGCCGGGTGATGAACTAGTATGATGATCAATTAGTGGTGCATATATATGATGATGAACTAGTTTTTATGCACTTATCGTGATCAACTTGATAAATATTTGCTTATTATTGTATTTGCGTACGGCGAGAATATATCCCACAAAGGTGTCCCACAAAACATTTGCGGGACAAGTTTACGGAAACTGTTCCGCCGTATGCCTCGCCGTCCTGTAAACATTTTTTGCCGGAGCCCTCAAATGACTTTTACGGCCCGGCCGTTTGTATGATCCGATAAAGATGCTCTTAGTCGGTCTGCCTAGGGATATGGACGTTTGGTTGCAGGGCTGGGCATCAGTGAACATGGTGGCCCAGATGGGGAGCATCGGCAACAGTCCACGACGCAACAATCCCAGGGGGCCCAGCAATATTGCAGCCACGCATTGTCAAACCCAAAGTGCAGTGCGCGCGGCATCATGGTCTGCCTCCGAAATCGAGCGATGCAGTCCGCGGCGCGGCACCGCCCC